CGTCAAGGATTTTTTAAAGTTTTGCCTTTTTCTGGTAACACTTTCTTTCAGCTTGAGAAAACAACTCATATATGGACAGGTATAATGTACATTAAATATTGTCTTTGTACATTTGTCTAGGAAATCCTTTTGTGTTTGGTGAGCAATGTAGAATTAAGCATTTGCCAACACAGCAGTACATCAGTGTTAAGGATACTTTAGATGGATCGAAAGTTTGCTTAATTCAAATATTAAAATGCAATAACTACTTACATTTAGCTTGTTGTTGAAGGTATAAATGAAGCCAATGGAGCTGAGTTATTCAAAATATTGTCAACTAATATTGCTCCACAAGAGGTGTGAATAAAATAAGAAGTTTTGCATTTTAATGTTATTTTTCATTAGGAAGTTTGCATTAGAGATCAAGTTGTTTTTCAGCATGTCAATAGTCAAAAGTTTTTAGGAGTCAATGGTGTGCTTAATTGGCTATTAAGCTCATGTGGCCTTTGTTTGGTATTAATGACTCAATTTATTTTTTAGTGAAACCAATTCTAAAAAAAAGACATTTATCTCAGCAAGACCACCTTAGTCAATGGTTTAACGTAAGATACAATATTCATTAAGGTTTTATTGCCATGTTATAATGCTTTATTTAGCTTATGCTTGATGATAAAGAAGATGATAGTACCCCGATACCTGTTACCAGCCATTATGAAATACTTAAGGTTATTAGTTACCATAACAATTAGTTTCTTGCTAGTTCTACATGTTTTGCATTTCATATCCACTATTTTCTTGTCACTATAATATTGGCAATTATTTTTAGGCTGAAGAAGGTGCGGTTTTAGATATTTATCATGTTACAGGATTGAGTTCATGTTTGTGTTACCATTTAAAGAGGGTATAAAACACAATATTAGAAATTTAGGTTAGGTATTATTGTATATAGGTCTCCTTATTTACTACTGAAGATGAGTTGGATGCAAAAAGAGCATTACAACTCTCATCACTTTATCAAGATGTGATGACCCAAATGATAGGATTAAAAGTTGCTTTTAATGCTTCTTCAAACAAGAAAAGACTTGCAAACATGTTAAGGACCTTACAAGTATTAAATTTAATTGAATCATATTGTTATTATTATGATCATAATGTAGACTATTGATGCTATGATTGCATTATTGCTGAAAATAGCTTCTGGAACTAGTAGTCCATTGTAGGTGTTCTGAATAATTGCTGTTTATTTGTGAATTTTATAGGAAGCATGAGGTTTGCTGTAGTATTTGTTCTGCCCTTGAGGAGTATGTGGAAAATTCCAACATCAAATCTCGTCACTATCTTGCTAAAAATGAATTGTTAAAATCACTAATGACTACGGTGCATGCTATGGTAATTTTATTACTTTTTTTACATTATTCAAAAGGTCGGCAAAGAATTTGGTACTGAAAAAATTCTCATCACCTTATCAAAAGATGATGTGTAATATTTTGTATCCTTGGTTATTGTGAAAATAGTTTTATTCTATTTATAGGGAAATAGGTGACCTATTGCAGAAGTCCATTATTTCATTTATTGAGACATTAAATACAGAGGTTCCTAATACATATTTTGTAGCTATTTTTAATTTGTTGCAGGATCCTAAGGTTGCTGAATTGATGACCGCATTGGTATTTAGTGGAAGAAAATTCAACAAAGAAATTCAAAGTTAGACTAATATTAATACAGTAGTTATAAGATTTTTAGGTAAAATTTATGAAAGGACACTTGCAACTGGAATGGTAAGTAGTAAATAAATTGTATGTGTATTGTGTTTTGTTTTGTTCACAGGTTCATAACCATAATGCTAATAGTAACGTACAACAAATACTTGCTGGATATGTAGAAACAGTTGGCAGTTACTTTGAAAAATTTGGCATCAATATTAAAGGAAGATCATTCACTTATGTAAGTCAGTATAATAGAATTGTAATAGGATTGTAATATTACATATTCTTTTTTTTTTAGAGTTACCACGAATTATTAGTAAACCCAAATGAAAAAATTGAATTCATTATTGATGATGAACAGAAAAATGTAATATTTTTAATGAAAAAGTCTTTGCATGAGTTTTTGTCGACAAATGAGGTAGGATAATAGATTTTGCTTAATGATCATCATTTCTTAAAGATGCATTTATTATATACTGGAGATGAATACAAAGGAAGAAATTCTATTATAGCACAAGTACTTGGTATTTTGGTTTTTCTTGTTGACTTTGGAGTTTACAATACTGATGATGAAGTGTTAAAAATTATCAATATTTTAATAAGTATTATTGATAGTAAAAGTGATGTAGATTCTTCGGGTGAGTCTACAACCTATTATTATGATGATCAAAATTTTGACAGGGAATGTGTTGGAAAATAATGAAAGGTGTAGTAGTGACACTCCTGGTAACAAAATTATTTTCAAAATTAAGTTCTTGTATGCTGTCATGCATGTCGGTTAATTGAAATTATCACTGTAATTACTATTAGGGCACTGCAGTCACTAAACTTACTTCTCCAGCAGCATTTTCGTTCATCCGTTAAGGTAGATCTATAGTTCATTGTGTACAAACATTCATTTTGCCTAATTTTTGTAGGCTCTTTTGTATGACTTCAAACACATAAGAGAAAAGCTGTGTTCAAATGAAGAAGAAATTAGTCCAGACACTGTTGAAGAAAATGTATCACATAGTATTGTAAGCTCAAGCGTCAGAAAATTTTCTGATGATCAAGTTGAACTGCAAGAAATTGCAATACTGTCTAAGGAAGAGTCAGAATTTATTGAACCACCAATAAGCATGAAGGTACTTTTTGGTAGTAAAAACAATCCTAATGAAAAGTATGTGCCATTTTTTGGATAAGAATAATTGTATTTTAATTCATCAGATTGTGTGCTGAGTCACTTGCCAGGTTAAGATTTAATTTTAGAAGCCAAGTTTACTTGGTATTTGATATTGATTCTACAAACTGTCAAAATTTGCCCTCTATTCTGCTGGACCTTATCAGTTATGATGACAGTGATGTTTGCTTGCTGAGTGCAAATATTCTTTTTGAGGTTTTTGAAGTTGAAAATATACTGCTCTCTAAAGCTAAAGACGCTTATTTTACTACTCCTGATACAAATCAAAAAATTCATGAAGAGATGAAAAAATTATCGTCTATGACAGATTCTGATCAACTTCTCAAACAAATGTTGAGAAACCAGATCCAGGATAAGCAAAAATTATTAAATAAGTTGGATGAACTCTCAAATTGTTTTGTTTCTTCTAATGATGAGTCTGAGCCTGATTCTAGTAATCAAGGAGTAGCATACAGCTGTGGTAAGTAAAAATGCACAGCAACTAGACTAAAATTAAGTTAAATTAAATTAAATTTAGGACTTTTTAACATCTTAATGGAATTTGTGCTTGAATATGGAAATTTAGATCAATCTCAGTGTCATGAAGACGTTTTTAGTAGCTGTTTCACAGTTTTACAAAGGATTACCAGAAAGAATATAAGAGTATATGCCAACTAAACTTTCCTATTGATTGTTAATATTAATTATAGGCACAAAATAAACTTTTTGAGTCTTTCAATGATTTTATTGAAATCAAAACTGCTGTTGCATCTATGACATGTTTGCTCAGTGAAGTTAGAATTATAAATATTGTTGTGATTACTATCATGATGTGTATTCAATAGGTGTTTTCTAATAATCCTTCACTTTGTAAAAGACTATCTGAAAATGATATCAGGAAGTTATTTTTTATGTCCATTAGGAGCAGTAATCCTGAGCATTATGAATTAACTGTCACACTGCAGACCATTATACAGGTTAATTCTATTTTTGTTTTTTGTGAATTAAACTATTTTGTATCTAGAACACAGAGCCAGCCACTCCATTGCAAGAGTATATATCACAACTCTTTCTTCATCACTGGCAGGACAATTTAGGACACATTTTAGGTCAAGAAAATCAAGCTATTAGATTTCAACTTTTAGAAAATGTATGCTGTGTTATTCTAATGTAATAATTTTGGAAACTATATAGGCTGATGATGAAGACCCTCACCTTCAATTGTTATTAAATATAACTGACTTATTAGCATCATGTACTGTTGGAGAATGCCAGTTTGCAGAACCTGTTTCACAACATTTTTATAACATAGATGAGCTCCTTTTGTAAGTACTAATCAAATATAAAATTTATTATAAAATTAATAGAATTCTTGCAAATGAAAAGATTGTGAGCCATCACAAGTTGCCCTTTGTGAGACTTTTAACATGGACATTTTTAAATACTGAGAGAGACTCAGCTTTAGCATGCTCTCAGCTAGCATCTAGCAGGTAGATACATACTTTAGATTTTTAAAAAATAATGATCAACAACTATTGTTTTAGAAATTTTTTGTTGCTCATAGAGCAACAGATTTCACATATTGATAACAAGATATTGAAGGAGTTTCATGCTTTAACAGCTGAGAAAAAGAAAGTCCTTCTAATAAAGATGAAGAATTTGACTGATTCAAACTTGAGTATTAAGCAATGGATAAAATACTCGGCTGATATTTCAGTTAATCTCAGTAGTAGCTTATTATTTG